ACATGCCTTACTATAGCCTTACCACAAAAACTCCAGATATGATGTTTTTGGAGTTTGGTTGTAACTATGTGCCATACAGCTCAGTCTCTGAAGAGTCTATCACACAATCACACAGTCAGAGGTGGAAAGTGTACTACAGTATTCTACTTAATAAAAGTACTATTACGCTGATGAAGGTTTAATTTAATATCTCCTAGCAGTTAAAGCCTTGGGCAAGATATAACACTGACCTTTGAAATGTTATTTGGAAAAAGAATGAAAGCTGCAACAGTCAGTTTGAACATAACGCTGTGGCTGATTGACGTAAACCTTCACAATTACCTTGCCTGAAGTCAACCCAGGTCACCACATTCAGATGTATCCCCTTAGGCTAACACCCATTTTTCCTCTACTTTTACATAAAGATACTTCTTATTCTATGACCTATAACTGTACTTTTACTATTTATTATTTGTATTTTTGAGACATCAATCCAAAATCAAGCCCAAAAATAAAGGTCTCCTCTTGTTGATTGACTCAAATCGTAAGTCGCTTTCATTCAAAGTGTCTGCTAAATGTATTGCAATACATTTAACTAGTAATATTTCATTTACTTAACTATGAAATCATATCATAGTTAGTGTCCATTAAATGTTCTAAACATCTGTCTTAATCTGTTAAAATAACAGCATGCCTTCACACAAACCTGGATGCATAGCAGTAATGAGAAAGTTGTCATAAAACTTTGAAACGTAAATAAAATTAATTTCTTTATTACAAATGTATGTTTTATTACTACAATTACTTCCATGGTGTACTAATGATTTCATGAAGATGAACCAAAAACAGGTAAAACTAGAGTGTTACTGTTAAAAATAAGTCAAATAAATGAAAGTCCGATAAATACCTCGAAATGCAAGTTTATGCCCTAAGACCTACTCCAAGTGAATAATTTGTGCTAGAAACCTCTGTTTTTTACTTACAGTAAAATGCTAAGTAGTAAAAAGTAAGCATTAAGTAAAAAGCTAAGTTAAAGAAACCAACCACAACACTTGTACAATGAATGAAATAACAACAACTTTTGACTCTTTTAATTGCAGAAACACTCCACAAGTCCATAGATACACATTTCACTACAAGTCAAATTACAACAGTAACTCTCAGCTTTATTTTAACACTTCAGGTAAAGATGGACAGTTCACATACTCACCACCACGTGCTCACGGGATTCAACAAAAGTCCCATCATCAGGAGTGGAACAACTTGGTTAAACCTCTTCTTTTAGCCTGAAATACAAGATGAAATAAAGAAAACATTACATTACATTAACACATATGCTGTCAGATGATACCATCTCTGACTGGGTAATTTACTGCATAGTATTTGCCCTTCCTAGCCCCGATGTCCTGTAAACATTTCATAACACTCTGTAAATGTTGTCCAAAAGTTTAATTTCTGCTGACAAAAAAAAAAAAAACTGTTTCTTTACTTACTTGAGCAGCTCAAAAACGGCCAGGACGATGTCATTCACGTAACAGCAACCAGATGATTCAGACTTCTTGGCGTCGTGGAGTCCACCGGCCCAGGTGATGGCGATACGGGTTTGCTATTACACCTGGAGGGATTTACATAATCATATATCATATATATCACGAGCGGGCACACATGCTTAAATATGTACCCTCGATAAGACCCAAAACATGCTGCCAAGTGAATAATTTGTGCTATAAACTAAAAACAAATTATCTGAACATGGCGAAATATCACCCAAAACAAGCCTTACTATCACAGAAAAATTTCCCACAAGATTTGTGTTAAAAACTCCCAAAACATCATATCTGAACAAAATATCAAAATGTCAAAATATCACCAAAAACAATCAAGCCTGTAGTCTTACTATAGCAAAAAATGTTGAAAAATAAAAAAAAAAGTCAGAGAAATTAATTTAAATGCATGTTTATGGCCCAAAAAATGCTGCCAAGTAAATATTTTGTGCCAAAAACTCATGGTATATGATCATGTCAAAATATGACCAAAAACAAGCAAGACCATAGTCTTACTATTGCGAAAAAAACCGATTTGCCTTAAAATGAAAAAAAAAATTCAAAAAACATTACATCCTAATATGTCAAAATATCATGAGAATATCATATTCTTATGATGGTAGCCGACTTGAAAGCTCTGGAAAAACATGGCCACTTAATTTTTCCTCTATTTTTTCAGTATTATTAAACATATACATTGAATTAGTAATTTTTCAGTCACATCAAAACAGTAGAGCATCCATTTTTCTCTAGGATAAATTTGTGTTAAGTTGTTAAATAACAACATAACATACATTCAGAAAATTTGGACAAATTGCAACGTGATAGTTGTCATAAAATGTAAGAAAATATAAATAAAATTAATTCTACGTTGAATTTACTCTTTGATCCATGTAGAGAAAATTATTAGCTTTATTTTTATGTTTTTTTTTAAGTTTTATGTTTGTTATTTTACTAAAATGCACATTTTTATGACTAAAAGCATTACTTTCATGAGAATGACCTCTTAAGCAAAAAAATATAATATAAATATATATATATACATATATACATACAGTATATATATGTATATATATATAGCTACCAATAAGTTGCTGAACAAATTTCTGAAAATAAATGTTTCTCAAAAATGAGTAAAAATACACTAATTTGCATTAAAATACTTAGCTATATCAATTTTTGTGGTTAAAATTAAGAAAAAATACACTTTTTAGGTACGTCAACGATCACAGTAACATACTATAGGCTATATATATGCTGCGGCTACTTAGGGGTACTTTAAGAACCACTTTATTGACGTACAATACTTTGTGGATATACATTCACGACGAGTTTCTATATTCAATATAAACATATAAAGACATTCTATTGGTTCTCTGCTGCTGACACACACACACACACACAGTGTCTCTCTCGGTCCCTCGCGCGCGCGCGCTCTCTTTCACTCACTCACACGCACCTGCTGGGAAACATGACAGAAGATGACCGATACAGTTGTCGCGGAGGGACATGTGAAGTTTAGAGATGGAAAAAAGGTTATTTTTGGCAAACTGCCTTCAATTTCACTCTTTTAATCTTTAATTTAAGTTCCTGGTGCGAGCACTGGAACATGAGTGGAACTTATTTTTCTCCTCTGTGTTTCTATGTTTAACTTCAACGTTTTTCCACCGCAGTGGAAGAGTCGCTGGGTCGTTCTTCGGAAGCCCTCTCCCGTTGCAGGTCTGTGGTAAAAACGCTCCTATATCATGTCCTGTGATTATTAACAGTAGCGACTGAGATGTTGTCATATTTGTGATTTATCTATCGTAACGTGCGCTTTTTAAATGTGTTAACCTGGTGTTTGTTTGTCGACGATACGCTACGCTACGGGGGTGCGCACATGCCCCAACCCGCAGTTTCTAAACTGGACTCGGTTATTGTGTACTAACCCGATAAGTTTTCATTTGTTGTTGTTGTTTTTTTTAACTTTTAATAACTTTATTACTCTAATTTTGTGTTTCACTACAGGGCTTTACATTTTTAAATTACCCCAAAGTGAAAAATAGAGTTTTTGCTGAAGCTAAATTAGAACCAGGTGTGTTTCATCTGGTCCTGGTCTGGCGTTAACAAGAGGGCACAATCACTTATGTCTAGGAATTTATATGTTTAATTCAAGTTTTAAAAATTTAAAGTGAATAAAGAGTCTGAGTTTGATTTAATGCAGATTCTGGTAGCAGTGACGACGCTTCAGGTGAGATTTGACTCAAAAAGTTCTTAAAAGCAATTATGTTACTCTAGCATTAAACTTAGTCGAAGATAACTAGAAATTAACCAAAATTACTAGAAAAAATAGCCACACAAAAAAAAAACGTGCTCTGAAAAAAAATTCCTCCTTGAAACTCAGATTTTGTTCAGGTAAATGATGAAGGTTTAGTGTTTAACACTAGCTGTGTGAACCTATATGTCTGTGTGTGTGTGTGTGTGTTATTTGTGTCTGGATTTCGTGGTCACCTGTGCCAGCAGATCATTTTCTCAGGCTCGGCTGTGACAGCTGAGCCATTAACACTGTCTGCAGTATGACACAGGTGACGCTGTTGTCATTTCATTGTCCTGTTCATCACCTTTAAGCCTGTCAGCTTTAACAGCTCTTTGATGAATGTTTGTTTTTGTCTCAGACTGTCTGTCTCTGCTGGTGTACAAGGAGAAGAAGAAGAAGGCCAAGGAGAAGCTCAGCAGTCATAAGGAGCGGCTGAATGTTGCCCTGGAGGTACGTTCTCTGAGGAACCACCGCAGCTTTGGGTTCTTTGTGTAGAGGTGTTACACCTTACACTGTAACCCAGTTTGACTTCCTTTCTGCTGTCATGTGACCACTGTGACGTGAACGGTGTAGGACGGAGGCCAACTGTTGTTAATGTCACCAATGTTACTAACTTTTTTAGGTTCTTCAACTGAGAACTGATAACAAGTACTACATAAAGATCAGTACTAGTACTATTACAACCATGTACAGTTCCGTAAACACTTCCAACTTCTTTGGAGCTTGGACTATTGTGGACTTTTCCACTTGAATATTTCATATGTTTCCAGAACACATTTCAGTTTCTGTCAATGTTAATGAAATTATTTTATGTCAGGGGATCTGTGGTGTTGAACCAGCCACAGGCTACGACGGCGGTCCCTACACTCTCACAATCCTCTGCTCGGCCCACACCCTGGTCCTGGGCTTCAGCAGTCGAGACACCCTGCTGGCTTGGGACGCCCGGATTCGCTACAGCCTTGGAGAAGGTCAGTGTGTCGGTCAATGTAATGTGCAGTGAAAACCTGAAGTCGTCATAGCGATGGACGTGGAACTCAGTCAGTTTTCCATTTCTCTCCTTCAGTCCATCGGTTCAGTGTTAATGTGGAACCTGGTACTAAAATCCAGAGTGGTCCTGCTTCTCTCCATCTGTGCAACAACGTGCTCATCCTCACCAGAGGCCTCCCCCCCGTCGTCATCGGTCACTGGAAGTTGTCTGCATTGCGTCGCTATGGTGCTGTGCCCAATGGCTTTGTGTTTGAAGGAGGGACGCGCTGTGGATCCTGTAAGTAAATGAAGTATCAGAAACACTGGGTATGATGTGCAGACAAAATACGACACATTTCAGTTGTATAATTCTGATGTGGATTTTTGTTGAAGTGACAAAAGTCTCAACACTATTCTTACAAAACAGTGGAAACAAAACCTGAGTGAATGGAAATAGTTGAGTGAATGTTATTCAACACTGCAGACTACAGTATAATACAATACTCTCTGAATCCTGTGTGTGTGTGTCCTTGTGTGTGTGTGTGTGTGTGTATGTGCGCGTGTCAGGGTCGAGGCATCTTCTGAATGTCCAGCTGATGTGAACATGAATTTGAAGAATGAGAGGTTGGTTATGTGGTGGTGTGTGTGTGGGTGTGCCTGCCAAAAAATATGTGTAACAATGCTAGTCAAGCTAGCTAAGTTAAAAAGCACTGAAAGTATATTTAATGTATATATACTGTAGTTTTGCCTAAAATATGTAACAGTTGGCTGAAATATTTACATATATGATCCGAGTGTTAGCTTACAGACTGCTAATATGATCATATTACCTTTGTGTATTATATTCTTGGAAATGACACACAAAAGTCTCGCAACCATAAGTGTGTGTATGTGTGTGTGTGTGTGTCCAGACTCATGGCTCCTACAGGAATAACCATGAGCTCTGTCGTCTCTGGTTTCAGTCTTGTGTTGAGCTGCATCTATAAATACCAGCCTTCTCTTTGGTGGCCACTCATAAAGCGTCTGCACGCCCTCACACACCTCATCCACACATTACCCATCAGCCAAAGGGGCAGCAGAGCCACGCAGCAGAAACAGAGAGTGTCAGAAAGGGAGACGTGTGAGAGTCACGTCAGACGGTGACATTCTTACATTCCTGACGGGAGTGTGAGGTCAGATTACACCTCTAAATGTTTATTTGTATTGGTTGAGTACATGTGACACAGGAGAACAGCAAACTACAAGTGTACACAAGTACTTCATCAACAGCTGGTTTTTCATTGGAATGATTCTACTTCAATAACAACTTGATTGATAAAGAGTGTGTGGCCTGTAGCAAACTTACTAAACTACTATTTTATTCCACCGAGTGACTTGGGTGGAAGCCTGGAACTAAATAAAACAGCGGACATAAATCATCTTGATGTCGAAGCCAAGTTTAATCCATTTAATGCAGGGCAATTTGAGTTGGTCTTATAAAGTTGCTGAAATTGCACAGACTGTTGGAGACTTAAATTAAATATTATTAAAATTAAACTCAGCTTTTTATTATTAGTACCAGGAGTCTTCCCACTCAGATTAAAAGCCTGAAAAGAGATAGTGGCTGAATAAAAACAACTGTCGTTAAAGGTCAGCAGTTAATGACTGTAGTTGAGGTGTAATTTATTACACCACAGTCTCCAGTGTTATAGCTGTTTACTGTTTGTATGGCCCTCAAATAATTCATTTTAACTACATTTCAATCTGATTAATTACAGGGTAGCAGTGAATTAATCACAATTAATCATGATTAATTGAGATAATCCTACATTCCTAAATATGACCAAAAACTATTTATTAAATAACTATTTAAGTTATTTTTAAAACAGAAAGACCAATAACAGCAGGTACTGTAGATGTTTCTCTGTTCTTATCTGTGACTAATCTGAATGATGTGAATATTATTATTATCCTCATCAGTATTAATCTGTCTACCTGCTGGAGCTGAGATGGTGTTTTAACTTCCAGGTTCTTTAGTCAAACAAAACAACTGTCAGTAAACACAGTTTATTATGACAGGCCTGTTCATATATTTCATGAGTAGTTCAATATATTTACTCATTTAGAAAAGTTTTGTTATTGTTTGTTTTTCTCTGAATTTCATTCCTGTAGATTCTCAGGTCGTCGACCTCAGCAGGTCTTAATGACGTTAAGGTGTGAATAACTCCCAGGTTGAATTTCTTTAAGACCTACAGTAACTCATGTCCAAGTAAAAATGTTAAATTAAGTAAAAATGTTGATTTCTTTTTAACCCTTCTTCACTCAACTTAAATGTTGCGTGACTCAAACCAGAGCCAAACTGTCAGCTTTTCTTAATGAACCTCTGTCTGTCGAGCTGCTGAATGCTGTGTGTAACTTAATAAATAATGAGTGGAGCCTGGAGACACAGGGGATTCACTGTGTCTCTGTTTACTAGTGTAATTTCTCATTCTTAAAACTCCTTCTAGCTTAGGGCAGGGTGTTGTTGTTTACTCTAATAATGTGGTCTTAGAATTTCTTTTTAAAAGTCCTTTTAATAAAAAATATTTTTCTGCTTATAAGGTTTGGAGACAGACTGTGAATTAAAAAGTTATAAAAGTGAGAGATTGAAAAATGCAGCAACTTTTTCCCGACAAACAGGAAATAAATAATTTAAGGCCCTTCATTCCAAAACTAAAGTATATAAAAAGTAGACAAACATCAGTGATAAAGTGAAGCTCTGCTTTAATGATCTGGGTATGAACAAACATGACTGATGTTTGACTTTGTCACTGTCCTTTCAGTGTCTTTATGATGTGATGTTTCAAAGTTGAATGATTTTGTTGTCTCTCAGCCTCTTACCTCTATGTGGCGCTGTCACTACTGACCAAAGATCATCCTGACATCTGCTGCAGCCTTTAGAACCTCATCAGTTTTTCTTCTTATTGATCCTGTATTTTACAACAGATTTTATTACTTAATGTGACTTTTTTCTTATATCTTACATCGTGATCCAGGCTTTCATGTGATAAATACTTCATGATCAAAGCGAAGCCTGGGCTTTTAGTTTCATTTACTCACCAGTTCTTTATCCCATGTTCTTTGTCATCCTCTGTTCAGGGGCTGGTGTTTTCTACTTGGCCTGTTCAGAAGGAGAGAAGATCAATTTTCTGTTTGACTGCATCGTGCGGGGCATCACTCCCAGCAGGACACCACATGGTCTGAGACCTTCACTGCCTGGTATGTACACCACTGAGGTTTTTATCTTCACTACAAATGTGTCTCATGCTGACAGTCATGTGACCCCTGTTTGTTTGTGTTTATCATGCTGCATCAATGTATATCATCTTTTTTTTTTTCTTTGTATAAACCTGTCCATGAAAAAAATAAAATAAAATTTAAGAAATAATAAGTAATAAATAATTAAAATAATAATAATAGTAATAAAAATATAAATAATAAATGTAAGCAATAAATAACCAATAAGAAGGAAAATGAACAGAAATATAAGTTTAATCAAATTAAGTAAGATCTATAAAAAGATATAAACAACAATAAAATATAAAAATACTAAAAAAGAGAGAACGGGCCAGGGTTAAGGTCAGGGTTGGATTAATGTAAGGTTTAGACAAGGGTTTTTATTATAAGTAAATATTAATAGTTAGGTTTAGACAAGGGTTGTTTTTATTATAAGTAAATATTAATAGTGAAATGCTCAAATATCCTGTAATGCCCTTTAATTCCCACCAATAAATGCAGAAAATGTTGAACTTTGTACTTTTACTGTAATGTGCTGGAAATTACAGACGGTAAGTGTTTCACTTGATTAGACATGAAAGATTAAATGGAGTGTGTTGATGAAGGTGCTAAAATGTCCTTCAACATCTTCTCTTCATTATCTTTGCTGAGCAGACCTCAGTGCAGATTCAACTTCAGCAGAAGAACGAATCAGTCACGAGGCTTCAGAGCTGGAGAAGAGACTGAGCATGTTATCACAGTGCAGCCTGGCCAGCAGCACAGGTACAGGAGCATCTCTACATTATCACATCATCACTCTGAGCCAGTGTTCTGTCAGATTTGTATGCTGGAAAAAGTGTTTTTCCTGAATAAGTAATATATTTCATTAATTCTAACTGGTAATACAGCAAATGTAGTACTGTATGTATAAACTTCTAGTATGCAGTACATTTATGACAGCATTTGTGTTTTTGTCTTTAACAGTCTGAGGTAAAAAAAAAAAATGTTGAGGAAAATCAACTAATGTACTTGAATTTATATTTTTAATTTAAAATTATACATTAACATTGGTATAGCTACAGGTTTTTAGGCAATTTAGTGTCGTTTTACTCATTTTTGGGACTTTTCTGGGAAATTATTTGGATAGATGTCAGTAACGATCAAAGGTGAATATTCCAAAAAATATGATTTTTTTCTGAAATTTAAGCATTAAAATGGCCCTAGCTACCTGTTTTTAGGCATTTTAGTACATTTTTCATAATTTTGGGAACATTTTTTTAAGACTTTGGGGAAATGATTTGCATAGATGTCAGTAATGATCAAAGGTGGAAGACAAAAAATTTGATTTTTATTTTAAACATTAAAATGGGCCTTGCTACGTGTCAGAAAAGTATACCAGGTTAAAAACTATAAACTGATAACTTTAGCTCAGATTTGTATTTGTGGGCATACAAATTTAACAGAACACCGACTACAGTGCCAGTATAAATACTCCTGTATGTGTATGTGTCGTGTGACATCAAGATTCAGTTTCTCCAGTTCTACTGAACCTTTTGCCTTTCACAGCTTCAACTTACAGTTCCACCACATCTGCAGCAAGTGATGATCGCAGCAGCATCTCCAGCTCCTCCTCCAGCCAATCAGACACAAGCTATGGAAGCAGACTCCACTCATTTTGGGGGGAACCCTTGGCTAGATTTCACCCTTCTTCTGAGACGGTGTCCAGCTCATCTACGCTGAAGAATTTGACCAGTTCAGATGATCGTCTCTATGGTGCTGTGATGGCAGGAGCTGGGACTCGTCCATCCTCCACTCAGCTCCATTCTCGTGGTCTTCATGACAGTGGACGTCAGAGCTCCTTGGACAGTGGAATTGGAATTGCAGCAGGCAGCCAGTCATCCTACTCAGGGAGCTGCTCCTCATGTACAGGGAGCCTGGAGACCTCCAGCCAGGGAGGAGGGGAGGAGATTGACTCTGGGTCTGGTCCGCGTCCTACCTCACCCCCGTCTGCTGCACCTCCTCCACCTCTTGCTGCTTCTCCATCTACACTTACCCCAGAGCACAGCTCTGCTAACTCCCGCTCCTCCTCCAGGTCCAGCTCACGTTCATCTTGTAAACATAGTGAAGATTACCAAGTCCTAAACGTGATGAAAGTTCGCTATGATATCCCCAGAAGTCTTCTCCAGACCATGTCCTTCAGGGAAAACTCCACCCAAGGAGGTCCACCTGAATCAGGGTGGGAGGTCAGGAGCGGGGGGGATGAAGGGAGTGGTCAGAGTCTGAGCAGCAGCAGTGCAGCAGGAGAGAGGGCTAATGTTTTAGCTGTTGTGCAACATCCACAATCAAGGAGCAGTGACAGAGCGCCCTCTGTGGACAGTGAATGTAGGTTGAGACCCAGACCACTACCAGGATGTGGAGGCCCTGTTGGTGAGGAGAAACTGGTAAGTGATATCAACCAATCAATTATCACTAACAAATCAGCACACGTCATTTAAGAGGATGTTAACTAAACGTAGTGGTTACAGTGGAGAACACCGGAGTCAGAGGTGTGGTCAGGAGCTGAAAACACAGAGAAAACGTTAGTCATGGATCAGAAAAACCAGGTCCTAAAAAACATTTCTACATAAGCAGTGATGTTGATTCAACGTCAAACTGAAATGGTTTAACTATGAGTCCAAATTGACTGATTTATAAAGTAGTATGGACTGGTGGTATAGGTTGTAGGGTGCATAGACTGTTGGCTACAGGTGCTGTAGTTTGGATGCAGCCGACCCATTAAGACGTAGTTGGTGGCTCTAACAAAAGTTCTGTTCTGTTATTGATGAACACGACCAGAGCAGCAGATGAGGCAGAATTTCCTGTGATGCTGACAGAAGGTGACGACATGTTTTTAATTAACAGCCTGTGTGTGAGGCAGAGACAGCCAGAGGGAAGGAGAGGGGAGACAGAGGGGGAGGTGATGACACCTACAGAAATCTGCTTCGTAGACAGTCTACTGACCTTCGGCATTAATGAAATGATCTGTGTCAGGATCACATTAGTGATGTCCACCTAAATTGTGGACAGCTTTTGGGCTGTGGGCTGCAGAAGCTGGAAAATTGGGACTCAAGAGACCTCACACCTCTGAACTGGCTGCTTTTTTTTTACTCCTGTCTCCCACTCTAGAAAATGATGGCTCTCACTGCTCCTGTCTCCTCCTGTCTCATCAGAACTTTTCTCTATTTATTTTTTTTAATTCTAATCACTGCAGTGAAAAAACAATTAGTTCTGCTCTGACTGTAACTTCTGTCGTCTCTCTTCACAGTTCAATCAGGATTTTGAAAACAACTACATCACACCAGAGCAGTGGAGAACAGTGAGGTCAGGTCAGGTTCTCAGGTCAGCGCCATCAGGACTGTCTGCAGAAACGCCAGGTTGGTGATGTTAACGTTTATATAAAAATTATAAAATCTTAAATCGGATCAGTTCAGAATAACCTGAGCTGTCGTCACCTTTAACTAGGATTAACCCTAGACCTGAAAAGGATGTCGGTGATTTAGTTAGAAAAAAAAAAAGACTTAACAAAATCTTTATCAATAAAGTTTGAACAAGATAGAATCACATTCATTCTCCTGGAGGATGACATTCTGACTTACTGGAGGGTCCATGTTTGATTCCGTCCCTTCTTCAATCCAGGAGTGAGTTTTGTCAGAAAAGAACATCTAGTGTCAAAACTCTGAATGTCTGCAGTGGTGCCCTCTGTTGGGGACATGAGCAACACGTGATTCTGTGTCCAGTAATGAATTAGAGGGTCTTTATAAAGCATAGCTCACTAACGCTGTCCTCTTCAGTAAACCTGTCAGAGTTCAAATCCCACAGTGTTAGCTGCTAACAAACACACACCCCTCTGTGACAGGTGATCTGTGTGTGAAGGACAACAGTGTGGAGACTGGATTGGACCACTCTCTGTCCTCAGTCACCCTCTGTGTCCCTGTAGCGCCACCCACCACACTGACCATGGATAGATCGACATCATCGTTGTCGTCTTCATCTTCATCATCAGCAGCAGCATCCTGTGGTGAGAACATCTTGGATTTTTTGAATATCAGTCATGGTCATTGCTAATGTGGTTTTGAGAATAGTTTTATCTATTTTTCCAAATTGTATACAGTCTATATGTACTTTGTGTAAGATTTTCCAGATTTACTGCATTTATTATATATATTTATATATATAATTATACTATTGTTATTTACGCTGCGTTTGTTTACAAACATGTTGTGGAGTTTCCAGGAAGGTCAACTCTCATCACTTCTTATTGTTTCCCAGTCAGTTAAATGTTTTTTTTTTCTGATTAGCCCAGTAGCTGTAGCGCTCTTAACAAGTTAACATGTCGTCATGTATTCAAGTATTCATCGATTTAGACGGAAAATGAACATTTACTAGATTAAAATGATTGCTGTTTGTTTGTGGTTCACTGCCTCTAACAGTAACTCAATAGGGGAGGGTGTTCCAGGATCAGTACCTGACTGTGATTGGTCATTGAAATAGTCAGTGTCTGTGTTTGAACTCATCTTTTGTGTGTATGGCAGAGCAGTGTTTTTACTGCTGCTCTCATGTTGGACTTTTCTTCATTCAGGTTTGTTCCATTCTCTCCACGCTGCTGCTGCTGCCTCCCCAGGACCTGGGCTTCATATTGACAGTGCTGTTAATTATGTCAACATCCCTAGTCGACCCCTGCTGGCAACAACTTACAGAGAGCTGCTGCACACATCAGTGAACAGGGTGGAGTCTGGCTACAGTCCAGAATGCACCATCACAGGTAACATGTGCTGACTCTGCAGAAAAACACAGCTTTAAATCAGTGACTGAGGGTGTAATCCTAGTTTATGTTCCTCAGTGGAATATATGTGATATAAATATATGTAATAAATTAAAGATATGACTAAGCTTGATTTTCTAATATCATAACAGTTCAGCAAAGGAAGCTAAAAGAATATATTGAATTCACCATTAATGATAGCATAACATGTTAATAATTAGTTAAATAGTTACTAAGAGTTAGCCCAACTGTGGACATTATGAAAAAAAATATATCTAAAAGCTGGTAAAAACTAAAAAAAAAAAAATAGGATAAAGAAATTTTAATGTTAGCCAAGAAATAAATGTATCAACTAAAGATAACTTAATGATAGCTTAGAATTAGCAACAGGCTAGAAATTGATAAAAAAAAATCAAAAAGTTAACCTTTGGGAGGCAAAGTTTGGTAAACTTTGTCTAAATAATTTAATTGTTTTGAATTATATAGATTTTATATTATTAAAAACAAAAAAGAACAAGAAGAAAAGAAAACTAAATTAGAAATTAAAACTTGATTTAAGGGACAGTTTCCTGTGACATTTGACTATTTCTTTACTACTTCATCTTTATTTGCAGTCAGACCTGAGTTCAAATCGCACAGCTGTTACTTTATGAACAGGACAAAGATCATTTAAAAAAGTGCAAGAAAATATTTAAACAATTTTTGTTCTTATCTGTTCAAACAGAGGAAGGTGCTCTAAGGTTCGCCCACCACAACATCACTGCTGTGGAGACAGATCAGAACGTGAGGACAAATACCGTCCAGATAAAGGAGGACAGACACACCGAGCTGGAGGACAGACGGTGAGGAAACCAACCAGAGGATGGAGGCTACTCAGACGACGCAGTAAACATTGGTAAACTAAAACTTCACACTTAAAAACAGTTTTCACATTCTACAAAAATTCCAGAAAAACAATCCATTCCAGTTAAAAGATAAAAACACAGGACAGTCTCTGAGACATTAAGAATCCTGGCTGTTCTTTTTAAATTTGCAGACAAACTTTGGCTTCGTGGTTTTTCTAAAAAAAAAAAAAGTAACCCCTGCCCACGGTCACCTGCTCAGAGATTAACTTCTTAGCAATCATTCCACAAACGTCGAGAAGTCTGTGCAGATCAGACCAGTGTGGTCTGAGCAGGACCTGGGTGAGTAAATCAGCCGGCCAGTCAGATTATTGACCACAGAAACCTATGTCTCTGTAAGAGAAGGGGAGGAGGAGAGGAGACATCTGTCATTTTTAACCACGAGTCTCAGTTTGTCTGTGTTGTTGAGAGGAAACTCTGTGCTGACTGTTGTAAATATTTACTGCTTTTCAAACTAAGGTTATATAACGGATATATTTAACTGTATTTTTAAACTATGACTCTTTGTATCTCACATGTGAATTTTCCCACAGTGGGACTAAAAGGGAATATTTCTTATTAATTAATTAATTATCCATTATTAAACACTGCTGTTAGGTTTTTAACGTTCTGACGTAATTTTTAAATAGTTTTTAAAAGTGTACTCTCTTACGTTATATTCATAATAACATTAATGGCACATTTCAAATTTCATTTCAAAGTCAAAAGTTAAACAAATGTCATTTATTAAATCTGTGCTGTGATTAACACTTCTCATATGAACAGTATGTACAAAATATTATTTAAACTGCATTTGTATCCAAAAACAGGTACATCAACGGCAACTGGACGGAGTAGGTTTCTTGAAGACGTTTCACCTCTCATCCAAGAGGCTTCTTCAGTTCTGACTGACTACTGGGAAATTCTGGTATGTAGGCTCAGAGAGGCTGCTTACCTGTAACGAGGGTTGTTGCAGAAAGGACGGCTGGAGGTGTGGTGGACCTCACCCCATTCTAAGGAGGGCGGAATGTAAAGTCACAAGGTTAGTGGTGTGAATGAGGAGTGGTACTATAGGTATAGAGGGATAGCGTCACCTGAGCAACACTTTTGGCTGAGTGTTGTTGTCAGGGAGAGAACTCAGGACGACATTATAGGTGGATGAAAGGTTGTGTCTCAAACCTCTGTTGAGAGATGGTTTCTTCACCCCTCTCTCAAACCATCTGTCTTCTGTGTACATCCTCATCCACAAAAGT